CGGACGGGAGAGAGAGGCAGGAGGGGAGCGAGAGGCTCAGACCTCTCCGTGGTGGTTACACCGGGTCCGTGTAACCCCTTCACAAAACCCAAGAGCAGGAGACGCTGAGTGAAGCTGCCCTGGTGCTGGAGGGCCCCGTCCTCCCAGTTCCAAAGGCATCGCCCAGGATAGATTCCCATCTGAGGTGGTGGCAGCTCACCCTGCCCACAGGTCTGCGTGAAAAAGCATCTTCACTGCAACTTTTAAGCTCTGCGAACTGCTGCCCTGCCTTCGCTCAGTCTTTTCAACACAAACCCAAGTCTTCTGGTCTTTTTTTCTTACAGATCATAAAGTTTTCTAACACTCTGGTCATTTTTCTTCTCTGATGCGGGAACCTGTCCCAGTGGCTCCCTCTTCCCTGTGGTACCAGACAAATCTTGACGCTGAATTCTGCTGAGGCCCTTCCAGACCCAAAGAAAGCGAAAGGTTCGCTTCACATCCATGGAGATGAAACGATGTTTGTTTGCTTTCTGGCTGGGCTTAAGATCTCCTGACCCCTGCGATATGGCAGGTTTAACAGGTATGACTTTAAGCATCAATTACACAAACAGTGTAATTGTTTGGTTTTATGCTTCCATTGCCACTTACACCAGCGTTAATTTGTTTTTCAGCCACTTTAACACCCAGAGCTCTTTCTGCAGACCTATTAGAGCACTGGCAACACAGGGTTTTACATTTGTGCAGATGGTTATTCCTCCTTAAGTGCCTTTGCCTTAACTGCATTACCTACTATTTATTTTACATCATTTCCTCAACTTGCCAGGATAGCTTTAACTTCTCAGAAGCATCTGCAGCTTCTCTTGCTCCGGCAAAATTTATGCTGGCCTTGGAGACATGACTGAAAGTATTTAATTCCCTGCAGAACTGGGCTTTAAACCTTCTTCTACTAGCACGAGGGAGCCAGTTACAGCTGCTGTGAGGTATGTCTTCTCAACTGCATCTACGCCCACTTACAACCGAGGGACAGCCAACCCAAAGACCCCGTTTCCAGTGGCTGCCGATGAAAAATAGAGTCGGAGAGAGAGGCAAAGACTTTCGAAAGTTCACGACAAACACAAGAACCTCATCTCGAGGGTTTCTCAGCTATCCACCAGGGCGGTTGCTCCTGGCAGAGAAAAAATTTGATTGAGTTGCTGTGATTTCTGCCGAGAGTATCGGCTAGTGTGGATTTATGGCCTTTTAACGATACAACCACTTGCAAGTTAGAGGGGGTGTTTCGGTTACCGGCCTCCGGTCGCTGAAATCAGGTGGGATTGCTGACGTCTGTCCGCCCACCCTTTCGTTTTAACTATAATATACTTTTAAACTATATATACTTCTGCTCTTTTCCTGTTCCTGAGACGTGAGAAATAGCTGTGAGAGACATCTAGCCAGTTCCCTGTTGTAGCATTTAATTTTTAACAATGTTTTTCCTGTCTAAATAGCCAAGAGTTGGGG